TAATTATTTTCTCTGAATTATACATACATATATATATAATGTGTTTGTGTGTTTGTATAATGTGTTTGTAAGTGTTAAAAATAGTATTAATGTGTAACTTTTTCTTGAAATTTGGACTTAACGCTGATGTCTGTCCTTATACTCATGTTCTTTCTTAGTTATTATTCTTCTGTAAACAAAGAAAAAAACAGATGAATTATGAATAGAGTTAATTTAACAGCAGATGATTTTGAATTTGTATTTATCAAGCATTGTTATTTTGTTCTTTCTTTTTTTTTCTTGTAATATATATATACCGTTGATACAAAGCAAGAGGTAGAAACCTTTCACAGGACTAATTTATGTTTCATTTCTACTTATATATATATATATATATATCATATATATAAAATTATTCAAAGATTTAGATTTCTTTTGCCATTCTAATATGCTTAACTCATCTTCTAAAACAGATTTTCAAAACTAAAATGTACCAAGATAAGCATACTTAGAACAGTTAAATTGCTTTACCCAAGTTTAAAATGTTTATTTTAGAGTTTTAATGCAACTTATTATACAGAAAAAAATACGTATTTTTCAGCGAAGATCGAATTAATTTTAAAATCAGAATTTTTACAACTATTTTGTATCACTTGTTCCTGTGAAGACAAAGATAATTTCTTTCAATATTCAATTGTAACGAAAGCTCTTAAGCTTTTGTACATTTACGCTGAAAGAAGCATTGGAAAGAAAACTTTTGACAAGACTCTGTCACAAAAATTATGATAAAAACATTAATTATGAAAGTTTTGTTTTTGTTCCTAAATTTAAATTTCCACATATTGGAATTTCAAGGAGTCTGATTCGAAAATTACCAGTTTAAAACATTTTATCCTCTACTACGATACAAACACAATTATTAATTTTCTCCTCGAGGAAAAAATATTTACGGAAAATTCATAACAGCTTCTAGTAAATATTAAGTTAGAAAAATTAGTAATATTCATGTCAAAATATGCCCAATCAATTTAGCTGGATAAAACTCGAAGTTTAATTACAAACTCGCTACTACTCCAGAAATTTTATAAAAGCACGAGTTAGAAATTCTGGAAAGAAAAGATTCATTCCACGCTTTAAATTAACTTTACGCTTCTGAAGGTTTACGCAAGATTCTGTACTTCTTGTCTGAGTATTCAAATCATTTTAATTAATTGAGAAAATGTGGTAGATCTCTCAAAACTAGAATTTAAATATATTAGCTTATGTGAAAATCTGTACAAAAGTTAGTTTGTGTAGAACTATGAGATCCTAGTTTCATTATATATATAGAGAGAGAGATAGCGCTTTTTTATTTTTATTTTTTATTCGGTGGTTTGTGGGATAATATTTTCATATGTTACTATACTTTCATCCGTTGGATTACTTGTGTTTACATTTTTTTACATTCAGTGTACTCAAAATTTTTCTACATATTTAAGCATTTTAAAATTTATTTATGGTTTTAATTCTATAATTTTGCAATGTTCTACATTACTTACTCCAGCCTGTACGAATTGGACTGATAAAGACATAAATTATTTTGACTAATTTTCTGAGATTATTAGAATAATAATATATTATTAAAATAAATTTAAAACATAATACTGAGAGATCTGAGATTATTAAAATAATCTCTGAACTCTCAGTATTATGATTTTAATTTGGGTCATTGTTAGCCAGAAAGAGGCTGATGTATTTACTTCTTTATTTGCAGACCCTCTGATGACAATGCAGTGAAAGATGAAAATTACTTTTTTCATTTTTTAACTTTATACATTTTTTGCACCCTTCATGCATTTTACCTCTGTGTTTGATTTTTTGATACTATATAATTTGTTCCGAATTAAATATGGGATAGATTTTAAACTTATTAATTGATTTTAATCTGCATTGCGTTCAACGTCTGGTTGCGCATTTTCCGATTGAAATGTGGTCTCAGATTAGCCGTGAAGTGAAGGAAGGAGAACAGATGCAAATCCTCAGAGGTATAGCGTTGATTGTTTAGTGTACCAATAATGCGTATTACGGTTTGCCGGGGTGGAACCCAATACCACTCTGCAGAGTGAGACAGGGTGCACGACCTTTATGACGATGTTTAACACAACAGTCGAGCAACTTATGATCAGGTGCCTCGAAACTCTAATCCGACCATGGTTCTGCAGGCAGAAGCGTGATTCGTCCCCAAACAGAAAGTTATGCTATTCGGATGACCATCTCAGCTTTTCAAACCACCATTACAAACGCAAGTACCTGTGGTTTAAAGGTAAGCGAGGCAATAGATGCCCAGATGCCCAGCGAACAGTCTCTTGTACACGGTAGAATTATTCTTACTGCGTTGTAGACTGACATTCTTTGTAACATGGTTGCGGATGTCGTAGTGCGCTCCGTGAGTGCCATGTGCACAATATGCTAGTCTTCCCATGGAGTGTTCGAAGAGGCGATTGTAATTGATCCTGTCTATCAGTCGTCCCCTCCTTGCATTTACCAATTCCATATTCGCATGTCAGTTGCTTGACTACGTCCGATAACATGACCGATTTCACGGACACATAATCCGCATTCTCTGTGAGCAACGATTCTGCGTCGATCAACCCAGAACGTGCTTGAATAATGCTCGTGTTTTTCTGCGTGAAGCTGTACACAGAAAATAGCTAACGAGAGAACAATTCTCGTTTTACAAAAAGGCAGTCTTTCTTCCCTTTAGATAGGGGTTGAAAGGAGCGCTGCAGCCACCATTGATGTGCGCGTGCGCTTAAACAGCATTCATTTGCATATTCCATCGAAGCATCCACATGATCCGGGTTCCATGCTGTTTGAGAGCTTCTTTCATGCTGCTAAATTTCGGATAGTCAGCAGTTCATATCTGTACCTGGATAATTCTCTCTCTCTCTCTCTCTCTCTCTATATATATATATATATATATATATACATATATGTCATGTTTTAATGCGTAGATGAAGGAATCCGGTACTTTTATCAGCTTGTGGCTGTAGACAGGTCTGAGTTGAAAGGCATGATAACGCATTTAACACAACTGAGCTTGAAGTATCACAATCTTTATTTTTACGACCCCCCCCCGGAGATCGATGCAAAGAATTCTGTGAAGCTACTGGCTAGGATCTGTACCTAAGCACTCTCGGCCACGGGGGATATAAAATCACGAGGCTGGCGGTTCTAGAACCCGAAAGGAAGATAGTTTTATATGGCTAGCTTGAGGAAGGGAGAGTAGCGAAGATTACTGCCCATTGATGAGAGAGACAAGATCTCTGTACTCCGCCAGGCGTTTTCAACCGGAGGAGGTGATGGCCGTCTAGTGAGGATAAAGATAAGAACTGTATACTCCGCTTGGTTGGCCCAATAAGGGGGTCCATGCCGGCGTAGTACTGGCGGAAGCATTTAAACCACCAGTCAGATCTCTAAGCGTGCATGTTCCCCGACCCTGTGAAACCTGGGAATCGAGAGTGGTGACCTGAGCGCCCAGGATGTAGCAGTAGTTAAGTGAATTTTCAAAGTCTGCTACCTTGGGTTGGATCCCGAGGTGGTAGCAAAAGGCGAGCAATAATCCTTTTGGGGAACAACGACTGGCTACTCACTCCTTGGCAAATATTGGGGCCTCTCAGTTGGGTCTAGTCCGTGTAGTTTCTAAATGACGGAGCACGTTAGACAAATATTATTATTATTATTATTATTATTACTCTACTACCAAGAATTCTCATATATTTCACACAAGTGAAAGGTTAAATACCAGTGGTAGCTGTATTGAAATTAGAAAATTTCCATTATCTTAAACATCTACCCAAAGAAGCTTCCATTTATGATTTCTCTTAAAATTTTAGTTGAAATCTAACAAGGCATGATATGTGATAAAATCAGATGCAACTTAAAAGCCATAATCTCTTAATTATGAATGATAGTAAAGTTTCTAAAACTAAACTTTTCATCTTATACATATATTTGTCAGAGTAAAATGTGAGCATTTTATATCCAAATTTGAACTATTAAAACAAAAGGCTTCTTCTAACAGCTAGTCTTCTCTGATGTTTATGTTCAAATAGTCACAGCAATAATATACAACCAATTAGGTAGTCATAGTAACTACTTCGTGTCTTCGCATCAGAAGTACCTCCGAAGCATCCGATGATGTAATTATTAAAAGGCACTTAACATGTTTCTCGAACTTTTTTAGCATAAAAATGTAGAACTGCTCGTTCTTAATATAGTAAGTGTAGCTTTATCTTGCGCATTTAAAATCAAAACAGAAATTTTAGAAATTAAACGAATTTCATCTTCTCTACATCTCTGTAGGAGATACTCTTTGTAAATATAAATTAAAGTTTTAAGAAGTCTTAAGCCCTAATAATTCATGCCTTTCAAATTTTTCTTAGAACCCTCACGTAAAGCTTTTGCGATAAAATGTTGTCTAAAATCACATATACAACATCGCTAGTTGTACAGGATAAATGCGTTATGTGTAATTACAAGTTGTTTTAGCAAATCATATTATAAATATGTACTTTTAAGAAAAGCACGCGTTACAGTGTTCATTTTGAAGAAAAAAGCTTTGCATATTATACTTAGTGAGTCATTCAGATTTAACAATTTTGAAAGATACAGATGATAATTTACTACAGATGAAAAATTAAAGGGTCTTAAAACAGATGTACAACAAGAAATGCATAGTAAATAATCAGATTTGAAAGCATAAGATGTAGAATATAAAATTATAACATAACTGGCGCAGTTAAATTGCTTGGATTAGCACTATAATTTGTATTTTATCACAACTTCCTAATTCCTCCAGCTGAAAATTTCAAACCTTTGTGTCATTTTAGTCAAAGAATATATATAAAGCACAAAAATTACAGATCGAGAAAATGCACTGTATTTTTTCAATAATCTTAAAATATACAAGTTTAAAAAATCTTAAGATATACTACTAGATAAGCTTCATACACATATAATGTATTAATTAAATCATTTACCCTAGTGTCCAGAGTAGGGGTCCAAACATTAAGGTACAGGCAGTCTTCTTGACCATCGTACTGTTTACGGAAAGGATTGAGTTGGAAGCAGGGAGACCCGTAATTTAATACTTTAAATGTATTTTGCTGTATACACCATGATGCATTTGTCCATAGAGGAAGCGGCTTCTTCCATCTTAGAGGACCCACTGGTGGTTGAGCATACGGAATTCCCTGTAACAAAAAGTATTCTTATAAATATCATTATTAGTAAAGAAATATGTGCTGTCATAATATAATATATGTAAAGAAAAATCTATTTGAACACTCTAAATCCCTCAGTGAGGGATTTGCAGAGCAACAGCAGCTTTTGCTCCGCTTCGCGTTAAACAACGCAGGTTTACTGTCTTGGTAACAGAATATGTTTCGCCACCTGCAATTATGACAATGGAGAAGGGAGTGAGTTGAGAGACAGAATGACCCTCTGTCGAGACAGAGTGCCCGAACACGTTTCTGAAGCTCGCCATTTCAAGCAAGGACAGTCGTAACAATGGATGCACCTCCTTTGATAAAAGTAAGTTCGCTTTTAAAACATATATACAGTTATTTCTTAATATAAATAGCTTAAGCATTATAAATTATAGTCTTATAGTTAGGTTCATGTGTAAAACATTGAAGGATGTAATAAAAAGTAGTTTTAGTTTGCTCTTTTTTTAAGGTATCTGCTTTTAGAATGTAATGCTGTAACGTAGTTTTATTTATTACATACTGCTAACACGATGAAAGCGATATGCATGGATGTACTTTTTGTAAACACTTCTTAAAACTATTTTTATGTTTGTACAATTTCCACAACACTATCGATTTTAATTATTTAAATTCAGTTTTCCATACATTAATTCAAATAGGAAAAACAGAGGTGAAAAAGAAATCCATACTATAGTTTTGATTTTTTATAACACAAGTGAGCAAATTATTTAGTAGAATTGCAGCATGTCAGCAAGAAATAAAAATCGTATACTTTACTGAATTCTCTGGTGAAGTCGTATCGTTTTCAATTATAGTACTTTTTAATAGATTTTTTTAATTTTCAGATATTTAATGTCATTTTTTGTCATGTCATTTTATTGCCATATTTTTAGTGTCATATTGTCCATTTATGTACATATATTTCCTAATAAAAAGTTTTTTCATGCATTGCTTGTTTTCATTTATATTTAAATTACTTTGTTCATGGAAATTATTATAATTCTACAGTTATGTTAATGATTTCCACTTAGATTTAATCAATAAATAAAATACATAAGAATTTTCGGCAGAATTATGAAAAATGAATTTTTATCTTACACATGTCAGCTAATCCATATTATTTAACTTTAAAATTCACTTTATTCTTTCCATATGAGACTTGGAATTAGAATTAGCATATATAAAAATAAGTTATAGTCTAAAAATATATGTAAACATTTATTCACCTTTAATGATTAATGTATAGGTGTATGCATATAACTTCTCAAAAGTAAAAATCGTTATAATAATAACTGAAAATTTTAAACTTTATTCATAATTTAGGGTAATAGGTTAATTAATTTTAAGCTCTTCATAATTTTGTAATAAGAAATAGAAACATTTCTTTCTCAACATTTTGTGCAATATATGAAGTTAAAAACAATAGCATGAGATTATTTTATGGTTACTTATTAATCTCATACATTGCAAATAAATCTGAATAATTTTCATGTAAGAAAAATTAAGTTCACATTTTTTTCTTATTTCAATGTATATTAAAATTTATTATTCGATTTTTTATGCATATTATGCTCAAGTAGACAAACTACCAGTAACATCAATTCACAAATTGTATTAAAATATTCATTTATAAGTAGCATTTTAGGAAGTTAAATCTAGCAGATTATAATACAGGTTTCCTGAGACATATACTCGTATATGATCAGCAGTTTTAACACATTCAAATTTTCATGATCATAAAAATTTTTTTTCAAGAAATATTTTAATAAATTAATTTTCGACTATTATGTTTATTTAATGGAAAATTTAGCTTACATGATTGCATGTTCTAATCTTGTGAATGAAAGCTACGAAGAATCATAATTTGTTTTTTAAAATTAAAATATCTATACAATATTCAGAATGTATATCACTATATATGATTTTTTAAATTTCTTTTATGAAACTTGTAGAGACATTAGGTAATTTTTGGAAGCAGACAAGATGAAAAATACGCAACCGCCTTCACCGAGAATCGAACCGCGGACCTCTGGAATACGCGCCCAGTGTGCAGACCACCACACCACGAAGGCATGCCAAGAAGGCGGGAGAAATACCTTATAAACTATGCATTTTTGATTTCTCAAATCAAATTTTGAAAATTTCTGAAATATATATTCAAAGTTTTAAGTACCTGAAAGACCTTATTTTTTATTCAAAAACCCAGTTTTCAGTCCGAATTTCTTACTATTCCAGTTTTTATGTATAAATTGCATTGATTTCCTTATTTTTATTACTTACTACACATAGATAAAGGTAAAAACCATGTTTCTGTAAAATAAAATATATTCTGTGTATTCAAAGTAATTTCATATCAGAATTAGTGATAGTGTTAAGTATTTCAGAATGTTAAATATTGTAAAATGACACCGAATTTCCAATATTTTAATGTGAATGTAATTTTTTGAAATATATATTTCGTTAGATTTGGAAAGAAAAACTGTATGTCCACACAATGAAGATATGATTGTCTTTAAACTGTGCTTTTTATTTCAGTGATGGTCTACTTTGATTCATAATCTTTTTCATCGCCAATAAATGTTTTTGTAAGTACGTAGGTAGCAAATCTAAAACAGATGTATATGTCAGATATTTAAAATCACAATAGCATGTTAAAAAGTAGTGCAAAACATTTTTTCAAGAGATAATATTAACTAGAAATCTAAAACTTTACATACAGCAAATACCAATTTTCAGTTTGCAAATAAAATAAATATAAAGTAAGTATATAAAAATCGCACCATCAAGAAGTGAGCAGAGTATTATAACTCCTTGTAATGTGTCTGGTTTCACCCGAATATCGGGCGATATCTCGCTATCGAGAAAAGCGAACGAAAAAAGGGTCACTCCCTTAAATATTTTGTGTCCAATAAAAGAGTCTTTTGTACTTTGCAAGGATCACGCTTAGTTATATCTAGTCACATTTTATGATAGCTAAGCGTAACTGATCTTACAGTCTATGTTATTTAGCTGACTCTCTAAGCTGAGTGCTCTCCAGATTCTAGAAATAAGAAACAAATAATAGTTACGGGGTAAGAAGGCTACAATTTTACTATTGAATATGGATGATATGCATAGCGGGAAGGTGTGCTAATGTAATAGCAGAAGCTGTAATTTCATTCTAGGCAGACTGTGACATATATTAGTCATGGTTCTGGGATAAGTCCAAGAGACTGCTGGGAGCTGGTTTGAACTAATTAAAGAATTTTTATTTGAACGTACTAGGAAAGCTGTAAAATAAGTACCTCACTCTCATATTGAACAGAACAAATTGAATAAATGGATAATTTCATAACTCTGGCTTTCTTCTTTCCAGCAAAACCAGCCCCCTCGTATATCCGGGAAACAAAAATTATCATTATATTTTGGTAATAAAAGTCTGCACCACAGTTCTGCTCTCTATCTGTAAGAATAAAATACTTTTGGAATTACGTTCACTAATGTGAAAGCTGCAGGCTCGTGTTTCCGAATTAAATCCAGGGCTTATCAAAGGTGCAATTGAAACTAAATTGTGATACGTTAAAGAAAGAGCATATATTTCTATTACCATTTATTTTTCATTTTCGGATTTCATTTACAAATCAAATAATAGAGCAATAATTTGCATTTTAAAATAAGCAACATGATTTAAGATACTACTGCAGAACAAGGAAAAAACTCAAACTGACCCATTTAAAAAATATGGGGGAAATAAAAGCCTCGTGTTATGTAACATATATATTAGGAGGAAATACTGCAATCACGTTATTTATGAATTTATTCACTGGAATAAATGTTGCAATATAGAGTATTCAATTATATTAAATAATCATATCTTCTTTAACCCAGCTTTTGCGATAAAGTATAAATAAACCAAATAACTTTTGACAGAGAAAAAAGGTGCAAACCATATAAACTTTGCTATTAAAAGATCTTGCGTCGTATAGCTAAGCTGAAACTGTAGCTTTTCTATGAATCCTTTTTGTTCTCTAGCTATCGTGGGCACTTCAATGTCCCACAAAAGAATGACCTTATAGACGGTAATCCACGAAAGGATACTCAAGGGAGTAATAACCCAGGGGAGAATAACCCTTGGAGCACCGACCGAAAAATTCCCAAGGGAGGATTAGAGTGGAAATGCAATTCTTTGTCTATACCTTCGTTTCTTCTGGACTAGAAGCGAAAACGAATTTTAACCTCAGAAGTCGAATTGTAAATAAAGAGTATCCCAAGTGGAAGTTTGAATCGCAGAGTGAATGATGTTGTTTCGAGAAAACTGCTCAGACTATCACGTATTGCTGTTTGAAATATTTTTCTGATAGCACAGTAAAACTTCTGCCTTTTTAGATGAAAAAATACAATATGAAAAAAATTACTTATAGCTATCTATCATTATCTTTATTTTAAACTAATATGCAGAAAAAAACTACTAAACTTAGTACATAGAAAGCAAATAAATAGGAATGAATGCATTATCAAAAGGAACAGCTTGACTTCTTAAAACAATAAACATAAATTTCTGAGGTTTCATAACCTTAAATGGACAAGGAGAAACCTTAAATATCAGAATAAGGTTGTTTAAATTGGTAATGATTCCAGTTAAACTAAATCGAAAGTAAGCACGTCATGAAATATCATTTGCTTAATAAATCTTGCCAATATTGCGTTTTTTTTAAGAGAATTGTAGTATTGTAGCTGAATATTTTGCACTTGTATCAAAATATTGCAACATATTGCGCGAAATCCATTTGCTCACTAATTTGTAATAGTACCATTTTTTTCGTCCATTTGAACTATTTCATAAAAAAATTTCGATTGGAACTGAAACAAACTGTGCCATTTTGATTAAACTATCTGCAATGTATTTAATGAAATATTAATAGAGCTTTAATGCTACATAGAAGAAAGCTTTTATACTGTTATAGATAATAATCGTAATCTATAAAATATAGGTCTAGGAATATAAA